GGGCGTGGGGCTCGTGCGTGGAGGATAGGGTCCAGTTGTCCTCACTGGACACGCAGGCGCTTCTTGGGTTGACAACTTGGCTACGCAGCGGTCGTCACTGTGTTACACTTTCAGCCTTGGCTCCGGCTCTGTTTCTTGGCGGTCTACCCGCTCGTCTTCTGTTCTCAGTTCCAGTTGTGAGGCTGAGATCTACGTAGGGGCCATGGCTGCACAGGAGTTACGCTGGCTCACCTACCTGCAGACCGACTTGGGAGAGCCGCCTTGTACGTCGACAACAAGGCCATGATTGCCTTGTGTCATGAGCATAGACTAGAGCAAAGCACAAAGCACATCGCTCTGCGTTACTTCCTTGCTCGAGAGTTGCAGCAGTGTGGTCAGCTTCGTCTTGCTTACGTGGCCTCTCGGGCCAACACTGCTGATATCTTCACCAAGGCACTTCAGCATTGCGATCATCAACGTTTCTGTACTGATTTAGGCTGTTAGAATAAAATGTAGTTCTATATATTGTTCTATAACTGCCTGTATTGTAGAATGCTGTAATCATATAACTTTTTGTTTGGTGGTGCACCTTTCTTGATTCTTGCCTATTTGTACTGCTCGTTCTATAATGAACAACCCCCCACCTCTTTGGCCAACTCTCATTTCCCTCCCTCTCGCTACTCTCGACTCTCGTCCTTCCTAGCCATGCTTCCTAAACCTAAGAACTAAGTTCCTACTAAGTTTAGTTCGCCTCTTGACATAGGCCTTATGCCTACTTGGCCTCACTTGCTTACTTCTTGACTTTACTTGTACTTTGATCTATATACTTCTACCTATATGCTTACACTTGCTAGGTTTTGATCACTGTACTGCTTGTTCTCCATTATATAACGTTGTGTGTGAGCTGGCCTTATGGCCATTTGCTTGTGCTCAGAGTATGTGGTGACTTAGTGATCCACCCTAGGCTTGCTTTGCTTTTCTTGACTGGTCTTGTGACTGTTACAGTAGGTAGCTAGGAATGATGAAACTATCGAGAGAGTTTGGTACAAGTGAAAAGCCTAAGGGGTTGTACCCTACATTGGTTACCCCACTACAGCCTAAATAATCAAGCAGAACATATACAGTTTGACACACCCCCGTAGGCAAAGTGGGGGAGAACAAGGGATCACAAGACTAGTCAGGAAAAGCAATGCAAGCTCAGGGTGGATCACGACGTCACCACATACTCCGAGCACAAGCAAAGGGGCCACAAGGCTAGTTCACATGCAGAGGTATATATGCAACAACAACAGTACAGTGATCACTACCTAGCGAGAGTAAACATGCAGGTATATGTAGACATATACATATATATACATTTATATAAATCACAGTACAACCAGAGTCTACAGCATGTGAGGAAACGTAGGCACCAGGCCTAGAGCAGTGCAGAAGCGTTGATGATCACCAGCCGGAAGGGCCTTCGTGAAGACATAAGCCGTGTTGGCCCGGGTGGGCACATGAGCGACACGAAGCTGACCACGCTGCTGCAACTCTCGAGCAAGGAAGTAACGCAGAGCGATGTGCTTTGTTCTGTGCTCCAGTCTGTGGTCCTGACACAAGGCGATGGCAGCCTTGTTGTCGACGTACAGAACTGGAGGAGGAAAAGGCCTCTCTCCCAAGTCGGTCAGCAGGTAGGTGAGCCAGCATAGCTCCTGTGCAGCCATGGCTCTGGCATAGATCTCAGCCTCACAACTGGAGCTGAGAACAGAAGACGAATGTGTAGACCGCCAAGAAATAGAGCCCGAGCCAAGGCTGAACGTGTAACCCTGTGACGACCGCTGCGTAGCCAGGTCGTCAACCGAAGAAGTGTCTCAGTGCCCAGTGAGGACAACTGAGCTCCGCCCTCCAAGCACGAGCCCCATGTCCGATGTACTGCACAAGTAGCGCAGTACCCTCTTCGCAGCATCCATGTGCACCTTTTGGTGCCAGCCAGGAGCCACGTAGCGTGCCAGAAGGCCAAGAGGGTACGCGAGGTCAGGACGAGTGCAGGTCATCAGGTACATGAGGCAGCCCACTAGCTCTGGGTACGGGCCACTCGGCTCTACGGACTTGTCCGAAGGTGGAGCTGAGAGCGAGTGACCGGTACCTAGAGGAGTGGACTGTGGCGAGGACCAAGTGAAGCCGACGCGCTGAAGGACCTGCTGCACCATGTGTGATTGAGTCAGTGTGATGGTGCGGGATGCTCTGTCCCGGGTGATCTGCAGGCCAAGGTAGCTGCGCAGCTCACCCAGGTCTGTGCACGTGTGTCTCTTCTGCAGCTCCGACTTCACCACGGCGAGAGCCTCAGTGTCAGCAGTGGCAAAGACCAAGTCGTCGACGGACACGAGGATGTAGAACGGCGGCAGCGAAGTGTCGGTGCGCAGAAACAGCGACGGGTCAGCAGTGGAAGGTGCGAACCCAAGAGCCGCAAGTGTCGTCCTCAGTGTGTCGTGCCACTAACGAGGCGCCTGACGGAGTCCGTAGACCGGTCGGCGGAGGCTCCACTGGGTACCAGGAGGGAACGACCCAGTGAAGCTAGGTGGGCGGCGCAGCCAGATCTCCTCGTGCAGGCTGCCCTGTAAGAAGGCTGTGCTGAAGTTCAGAGAGTGAAGCGCGTAGTCACGCTGAGCGGCAACGTGCAGCAGTACCCAAAGAGTGGTCATCTCTGGGGTGGGGGAGAAGGTCTGGAAGAAGTCAACTCCCTGTCGTTGACTGAAGCCTCGTGCAACGTAACGAGCCTTGAAGACAGGCGGAGAACCCGGCGGCCGCTTCACCCTGAAAATCCACATGAGTCGACGTAAGTGCCTGTGGACTTCCAGGATGCCATCTCTGCATCCATGGCTGTCTGCCACTGAGAGGAGTACTCACTCGCGATTGCCTAAGCATAAGAGCGCAGGGTCGGGATATCATGTGCATCCGGGTCTCCCTCAGGGGCAAGCAGCATGGCCACGAGATGAGGCGCAGCGGCTGCAAGACACTCAAAGTCCTCCTGCCTTTCCTCAAGGACGTCCGTGCCAAGAGCACACTCACCCCCGACGGATGGAGGACAGACAGACTCAGACTCAGCAACAAGACTAGCAGCGAAGTCTAGACGACAGGCAGCAGCAAAGTCAACAAGCTCAGAAACTAAGGCAGACGCAGCAGCAGACTCAAACGACGGGTCAGTGACAACAGTGGCTAGCAGACGCGTGACAGTAGGGTGAGCAGCACGAACTAAGTCAGACTCAGGGTCCTGAACGTGAGGCAGAGAAGACACTGGAGGAGACGTCAGAGGGACACGCTGTGGAACAGAGGAAGGACGAAGTGCCATAGTGTGCGTGACGGGGACAGGAGGAGGACGCTCATGAGGAACACGACGACTAGTGCGATCAGCGCGAACAGGCGAGGTAGGACGAGACACAGGTTCACGACGCTCTGTAAGCGAGTCTGGCTGCGCAGTGTAAGGAGAAGGAGCAGGCAGTGGTGCGCCGGGCTGTAACGGGAGGCCAGTAGAAGACGGGAGGCTAAGAACCTGGCGAAGCACGGAGTCAGGCGGTGGAAGAGACGACGGTGACGGTGGAGCGAAAAACAGTCGCGGCGGTGCAGTGCCACCAGTACCAGTAGCTCCAGCGCCTCCTGCAGCTCCATAACCTCCAGCAGTAGCACCTCCGGCTCCAGTGCCTCTAGCAGCAGCACCTCCAGCTCCAGCGCCTCCAGCAGCAGCACCTCCAGCTCCAGTGCCTCCGGCAGTAGCACCTCTAGCTTCAGCGCCTCCAGCAGCAGCACCTCCAGCTCTAGTGCCTCCAGCAGCAGCACCTCCAGCTCCAGCGCCTCCAGCAGCTCCAGAACCTCCAGCTCCAGCGCCTCCCGTAGCAGCACTTCTAGCTCCAGCGCCACCAGTAGCAGCACCCCCAGAACCGGCACCTCCAGCCCCAGGGTCCCCAACTCCAGGGTCGACAGCACCAGCTCCAAGGCCTCCAGCCCCAGTACCTCCAGCAGTACCCCCAGAGCCGACACCTCCAGCTCAGGTTGGTGCCGATTTGGCGCCTTCTGTCGTGGCCGGCGCGTCAGGGGCCACAGGGGCTCGAGGCACACCAGGGGCGTGTGCCTCGACACCAGCAGCGTGTGCCTCGGTCGCGCCCAGCAGGACGTCGACGCCAGTCGGGGAAATTTCCCCGTCTTCTGCCCGGCGCTTGTTTGGGCGATCGCCCGCGATTTCGCGTGCGTTTCTTGCGGATTCGGGTCGAGCGGGGGCGGTAGCGGTATTAGACTCCCCGCCGTTAAGTGCCATAGTTGTTGCGTTGTGCGCGAAAATGTCAGAGAGTAAAGTCGACGGGGATTGAAAGCGAGGAAGAGACTTGGTCCTCGCCAGCTTGAGTGTGGGAGACGAAAATCGGCTAAACCGTTTGAAAATGAGAGACGTGGGTGGAGGGAAATGACCTCCAGCCCACGTTTTGTACTCCAAAACGGGCGTTTAGCGCGGTTCGCCGCTGCCCATTCCTACATTACAGACTGCTTCGCTTTCAAAATACGAAATTTTGAAGAGCGTTACACTTTTAAAAATATTCATATAACATGCATATGATTTGACAGCGGGTGCTCGAGGCCACTTGTGTTGCGATCCCGTTTGCTTTCGCAGCTCAGTTTCGTGAACCCTTCCGTTCGCAATTGTTCCGAACCTTTCACCCGCTCCCTGCCGGACCTAGGTTTTACCGAGTTGACCACCGTTGAGTAATTTGGGTTTTGGCCTTTAATCTCCTACTAGTCAATCATCCTTAGTTTCTAACATGATTAGCTGAACAGGTACGTAGAGCAGTGGTTCGTATAACACCAATATATACACGAATCCTGTCCTTTTGAGAGCTGTTACTTAGGCACTTGCCGCTGTGGGATCTAAGAAGCTACTAACCATTTTGGACCCAGTTCCAGACAATTTATGAGCATCAACCAACGAGACTGGACAATGATTCACCAACTATGCTACATCAGCAATGCAACGAGATTACTTCCATGAGGCCCCATCAAGCCAGCACAGTCGCACACACACGCTCAAAAGCAGCGCTTCGTAAGGAGACACCAAAAGCTTCGCTTCTGGAAGATGTGAAGGGAGGAAAAGGTGGAAGAGAACGGATGATGGGAGAAGCCGCCTTGAGATCGAGCACGCTTGGGGAGATGAGTAAAAGGGGAAGCCAGAGATTGCAGAAGAGGGGCAGGAGATGTACAGTGAGGAAGAAGGTAAACGGAAGTGCTGTAGGTTGAGGTGGACACTGGCGGGAGTGTGCAATAAAGGACTCTCTTGCAGTGAATTTCACCTTGCGAATAAGAGCAGGCTTTGAGGGCCGTTGCCATGCTGGTAATCTCTGAACGCACTTGTCAATTGTGTTGTCTTCAAACCATTTTCAACTGCACGGTTGACTTCAAACCATATTCATTCCGAGCTAAGCAAACCGACAATAGCGTTCGTTGCACCGGCACGTACCTTCATACAGCTCCAGCCGGACCATCTTCGCAGATCACGTCGTGCACGCGCGCGGTTCCCAGCAGACGTCCGCCTCTCGTTGCGCCCGCCAGCGCGCCGTGTTGTGACAGCAGCTCTGCCTCGTCTGCCGTCGAGCCCTTAGCGCCTCCTCTCGCCGCTGCTGCTGCCACCGTTGCTGCCGCAGCGTCGTTAGCCACACGGTTCGCGTGTCGCACGACAGTGAGTGCGAACACGATGGCGGCGACGGCGACGATTACGCAGAACGCGGCGACGGACAGAGCAACAATGGAGACGGTGGGCATAGCGCTGCAGGAACAAGCGCCACCGTCAGCAGCCGGCTCGTAGACCGTGGTGACGGGCAGCGGCTGTTGCGCAGACTCTCCGTGGATGAGCGGCTCAATCTCGTCCACTTGAGCGCAACTCACGGAGCCAATCGAGGCGTACGTAGGAGTGGGACCGAAGTAGCCGCTCGTTGCACTGTGCGAGTGAGCCTCCGCCCGACGCGCGGCCGCTATAGTGTCGGGAGGGGTAGTTCCTGGCGGGGAGAGGAGCTCTCCGGGCATGTTCACGGAAAAGGACGCGGAGGAGCGCGCGCAGTCGGGCGAGTCCCAAAAGGTGAGCGCGCGACAAACGGAATGCGGTGTGCTGATGCCACGTTGAGCATCCCATACGATGACGTAGCTGGCTGCCACGTCAGCGTGATCGGGAAAGAAGGGCACGCAGTCGGCAGGCGAAGACGGTGCGCGAACAATGGACGGGGAGGCACACGAAAAGTGCTCGTCGGGGCAGAAGGAGATGACGGTGGACATGATCGACGGGGGGGACGCCATGGCGGCCAGAGGCATTACTGCCAAGACCAGCGCCAGGCGAGCAGCAGCGACAACCGAAGCCATTACAAGTGCGGAAATTGAGATCGCAGTTGACAGACAAGGAGGTTGTGGTGGATGTGAAGATAGTTGGTGGATCTACCAAGAAGGAGCCCCTTCATGCTTTTTGCATCAAGCCGAGGGGCCAAGCCAAAGCGGAGAAGAGCCAGCAACCAAAGAAATGAGGGAGGCGAGACGACGAAGCGCGGAGGGGCATACAGCCCATGGTGATTGGTCAGCGACTAGGATTTGTGTCGCAGGGCGCGATTTCCGAAGCGCAAGGCGGCGGACTTGAGGTGTGTGGCACATGACAGATGAACGGTGGTGATGAATGGCAACGCCATTCCAACCAATGCCAGTCCGAACGTCCATACACTGGTGGCGGCGAATGCGAGACATACAATTACCGCCTTGCTGAGGAGACGTGTTACAGAATAGGTTTACTGTTGTTACGGGTGCAATGAATCGAAGTAGCGAGAATTGCACTAGGGTGTCAAAACGAGTACAAAATCTGAGCGAAGGCATGAGCGAACATTTATACGCGAAACATGCAAACGGTAACGCGGTGCGTGCGAGCTAGCTAGTGCTACGCTGGAAGCGAGGCTCGGGCTAGTCCCGAAGCGTAGGCCGACACGGCCGGTCCAGCAGTGCGAGGTTTGGTAAAACAATGCGCGCGAAGTCGGCGAAGCCCCGTTAGCAGTAACGGACGAACAACGGCTGCTGCTGTACGCGGTGTTGCAGGGTGCGCTAAGGATTATCGTGAAAATTCCTTACACTACCCCCCCCCCCCCCCCCCCCCCCCCCCTCAAGAAGCCCCCTCCGCTACGCGAGTGCGTGTATATCGCGGAAACCCCGGCTCCTCATGTACACTTGCAGGGCAGGGTGGTTTTCGATGTTGGCCAGGGGCACCCAGCTATCCTCAGTTGGCGTGCGGTCCTTCCAGCGAACAAGGAATTCAATCCTCCTGATTCCCGTGGGGTGTCGAATCCGATGGCTCAGGATTTTTTCGGGCTCAATGATCGGCTCCGATGCAGGGCGAGTCATGGATGGCGGGCGGTGACGAGGCTGTTGGATTGTGGTTGGGATGTATGGGCGAAGCAGGCTGACGTGGAATGAAGGCCTGATGTACCAGTCCGTCGGCAACAGTAGGTGGGCTGTCATTGGGGTAATCATGTGGCTGATGTGGAATGGTCCACAGTAGCGGGGTCGTAATTTCGTTACGACGGGCAATCTTAAGTTCTGTGTGTCGAGCAGTACGTAGTTCCCTGACTGGTACGTGACAGGGCGGCGATGGCGGTCAGCGTTGCGCTTAGCGATGACAATGGCTTTTTTAATTGCTTCACCGGCTCTGGTGCGGGCAGCTTGCAGAATTTCGGCGAATTGTTGTGCACGTGGCGTTGGGTTGTCCGGATTCGGCGTCATGGGCACTGTAGGGTTTTGCCCGTAGTTCAGGTACAAGGGGGACTGCTGTGTCGTCGCTGACGTGGCGTTGTTGTACGCGAACTCAATCAGCGGCAGCTGCTGCTCCCAAGTGGTTGGGTCGTCGCACGTGGCACGAATCAACTGCTCCATCGTCTGATTCATCCGCTCCGTTTGACCGTCGGTCTCGGGGTGGTACGACGAGCTGAACTGTAGCCTTGTCCCGAACTGCTCCCAGAGGTTTTTCCAGAAGTTGCTGGTGAACTTCGTGTCGCGGTCGCTGATTATCGCGGCTGGTATCCCGTGTAGTCGAACGACGGCTGCGATGAACAGGCGAGCGGTTTCCTCGGCTGAGATCGATTTCTTGCACGCAGCGACGACGACGACCGATTCGGCGTGCACGCAGCGGCGACGACGTTGACAGTTTGACGAAGAAATCGATCGCGTGCAAGAAATCGATCGATTTCTTGCACGCAGCGAAGTGTGCCATCTTCAAACTGTCAACGACGACCATAACCGCGTCGTTACCCCCAGGGTTCGAAGGTAACCCCGTGACGAAATCCATGGTAACCTGCTGCCAGGCGCGCTCAGGTGGTGGAATCGGCTGCAACTGACCCGCCTTTCTTTTTCGCGAGCTCTTCATCACCTGACACGTAGGACACGAGCCCACGTGGTGCTGTACGTCCATGTCGGGGACGAACCGGCGCACGTAGTTGCCGAACCCCCAGAAAACTCTGCAACTCAGTCAAGTTGGTCGGCGCGTGCCATGCTTGAATCGTCGCGGTCTTTTTCGGGTCTATTTCCACTCCTGCAGCTGAAATAATGTGTCCCAAAAATTCCAGTCGGTCCTGTAAAAACTCACACTTGGACGCTTTTGTTAGTAGGCGGTTCTCACTGAGTATTTTAAAAACTGCTTCGATGTCCTGTAAGTGCTGTGCTCTGTCGGGGCTGTAAATCAGTATGTCGTCAAGGTACACGACGACGCACTTATCTAAAAGCGGGCGGAAGGCTTTGTTCATGGTCATTTGAAAGGTGGCGGGGGCGTTGGTTGTCAGAATCCCAACCACTAGACCATTGGGATAGAAGGGCTTGTTAAATAGCGGGTCAGTGCGCCCATAACCCCCCAGGCCAACATGCCTGTAACCCTTCCCTAGGATCAATCGGGGATCACCAGTGAACCTCTGACACCCCCCCGCACTGGGATGCCCGTAGTGCACACACTGGAATTCGAACCCGAGACCTTCGCTCTGATACCATGTCAGAATCCCAACCACTAGACCATTGGGATAGAAGGGCTTGTTAAGTAGCGGGTCAGTGCGCCCATAACCCCCCAGGCCAACATGCCTGTAACCCTTCCCTATGATCAATCGGGGATCACCAGTGGACCTCTGACATTGGTCAGTCCGAAGGGCATGACGGTGTATTCGAAGGATCCGTAGCGTGTTCGGAAGGCTGTCTTGGGGCAGTCGGGTGGGTTGACGCGAATCTGGTGGTAACCTCCCCAAAGGTAGATTTTCGAGAAAACCCAGGCTGTGCGCAGTTGGTCGATCAGTTCGTCGGCTCGCGGGATGGGGTAACGGGATTTTATGGTAACCCTGTTCACTGCCCTGTAGTCTATGCACATGCGAAAACCCCCATCCTTCTTCGGCGTGAACAGTATCGGTGCTGCGAAGGGCGACAAACTAGGGCGAATGAACTCCTTCGCGAACAAGTAATCCAGCTGCTTCCTCAGTTCGTCCAGTTCGGGTTGGGTCAGTCGGAACTGTCGCTGTACTGTCGGCTCTGCCCCTGGTTCTAGTGTGGTCGTGCGGTCGCTGAGGTGGTAGTCCCGTCGGTAGGTCGTCCGGGAAAATACCACTGTACTGCTTCAACAGTGCTGCCAGATCACCCGGTACGTCGGCTAGCAGTTTCTGTAAATCCCCTCCTTTGTCTGCTGCCTCGGCTTCCCGAATGTCAACCACGTACACGTCAGCTCCTGCCGCTACGGCGCGTTTCATTGTGATCGCGTTGACACGCACCGACAAAGACTCAGGCGAGCCCTAGCGAGGTAAGGCGATGTTGTTACCGTTCACTCGCACAGTGCAGTCACCCGTCGTCCAGTCGATTCGCGGATTGTGTCGTCGCAGCCAATCACGCCCGAGTAAAATGTTGGTTCCGTCGATGGTCGTTGCGGGCATTTCCTGGCTAAACATGAAGTTACCCCCGCATCGAATCCGAACTTGGTCCACACGTTCCCATATCGCCTGTGGCATGCCGTCGACCAGCCTTGCGTCGATCTCAGGTAAGCATCTGTCCACTTGCAGTCGCAGTTTTCGTGATGTGGCAGTGTTGATAAGGCTGTGGCTGGCCCCTCCATCTACGAAGATTTTAACTAAGTCCATCCCGATTTTCCCACTAAGCAGTATGGGGCTGTCTACCATAGTACCCTCCTTATTCGGCCGGGTGTGGTCGATTGCGTGAACCGGTACAATCACTCGGTGAGGGTCGGTTGGGTCGGGCGAGCAGCGTGACCTGTCAGTAGAGGGCCCGTCTGCTACTGACTCCCAGCGTTTCCCTGCTGCTTGGTCTGTTTCTGCTGCTCAGCTTCCCCCTTTCCCTTAGCGTTTTCCGGGCATTCGCTCTTACGGTGTCCCGGCCGATTGCACGCAAAGCAGCGCCCATTGAATGGTGCGGCAGCGGCATTTGCGGCGACGGCACGTATCGTAGCGCCCTCATTCGTCCCACAAGGCCGATGTCCCCAATTGCTGCTTCCGTAGGACCCCGGTCTCGGTCGGCGGAAGAAGTCGAGTTTCTCCGCCATAGCGAGAATTTCTTGAAAATCGGTGACGCCGCGAAGCTGGATTTCCTGAGCGATGTCCTGCTTCAGGCCGCCGATGTAGCGGTCGATGCGCTTGCTCTCATGCATGTATCTCACCTGCTCGCATAGCGCCAGAAATCCGCTCGTGTAGTCTTGGACGGAACCGAGTTGGCGCTAAGTGCGGAGCTTCTGTCGCGTCGTGATCGAAGCCGCAATTGGCTCGAAACGAGCGCGCAGACCTGCGCACCACGCGTCCCACGTGCGATACTGGGGCACCTCCACGAAATACGACGGCGCCCAGGGTCCGGTTTGTCCTTCCCGTGTCGGTAGAGTTGCGTACTCTGCCGGCTTCGTGACGATGACACGCCACCAGTCCATCGCGGGTCCTCGCAGCAACGACACGGCGTAGCGAATCTTCACCGTATCCTCCGAGACGTAATTCGCGTCGAAGAAAACGTTCAACGTGAAGAGCCACGCCTGAGCGGTAGGACCACCCCGTTGACTCGGGTCAGAACACGGCGGACGATGCGGCTTCAGCGCCATCGGCGACGGTAGAGTCGATTCGCCGGCCGGCACGGAAATCGTGGCTCGAGGCTGATTCTTGGCTGCATTCGTCGCGTCGGGGTGTGTTGTGCCGTGGTCGTCGTCTCCGTCGTGGCGGACGACGTCATCACTGGCCGCGCTCACGGATTGCCCCACACTTCCGTGTTGCGATGTCTGTGGTGCGGGCTGTATCGGAGTGCCAGGTGCTTGGGATTGTGTT